GAACTGCACATTGCAGGATCTTAATATTGGCAACTTTATGATCCGCAGATTAAAGAGAGACACTATCGTCCCTTTGCCTCAGTCTTACACACATCAAAATGGGGACAGGCAAGGGAATGATAAATGTCAATGATATTCCTTCTGAACTGTCGCGAGTTCCGTGAATCCCACTTTGTCTAGCACTCCTTGTCCCTGGTAAGCTGGATGAGCCTTCTTCTCTTTAACTGCTTTTCCACAACGATCCGGAAAAGCTTTGTGTTAGAAACCTCCCTTGTTATCTTACTCTTAAAGTAAATCTGTATAACGTTCGAAGGTATGTTTCAGTTTAAATCATATAATGTCTTCTGTGAGTTTAATGCAGTTTACTAACGTTTAACTAGCTTGTTAGATATGCAAGTTCGTTAAGTGTTTGGATAAGTTTAATGCACGAATAAGATGAAATTAAGAAATTACTTGAAGTTACTATATCATAAATATATAACTAAAACACTAGTTGGCGGATATCTCATTTTACCTTCTGAAATTTCATTTTTTGCATTGAATATATTCCTATCCGTTTGTTAGGTAATTTGAGAACCAGTTGTAAGAATTTCCCAAAGTTTATTGGTGGATTAATTTTCAAGTAAGCTTGTGTGATTTCTATGTCAAGTCGATAAACTGGTTATGATAAACTTGTTCATATAAAAAAAAAACTTTAGCACATGATATGCTAAGCACTGAAGTGCAGTGTTTGTAGACAGTGTTTGTAATCAAGATGTGAATCTGTAATTACCGAATGATTACTTAGGTGAGCATCAGTATTGATTGGCTTTTCCCGGGTTCCCGCCCTGTGATGATGATTCGATAAATTTATCTCGAAAGTCCTGAGGGCTGACTTTATAGACTGATTTCTAATTTGTCACTATGTATCCCCAAACACTGTTGGTCGGCTAGTGACTTTACGTTGCAGTTGGTACGCTTTATCACTATACAAGCTGTTGAAGGGCTCTGGGTTTTAAATTAGAACTTGGGATG